TTCTACATGGAATTAAATTCTTTGAACAATTTTCAAAGGTGACCACCAAAGGAACATTCCTGTGAAGTTTGGATGAAATTGGCTGAGTGGTTAATGAGGAGATGTCATTTAAAGTAAAAGTTTACGGACGACGGACGGGCGGACGACAGACGGGCGGACGCCGGACGAAAAGCGATCACAAAAGCTCACCCTGTCACTTTGTGACAGGTGAGCTAAAAATGCTATGCCACCGCATTAATACAATACTAAATAGTAATGTAGGAACAGAATTTTATTGAAGAGTGCCATAATGCAAATATCACTGACCTATCTAATTCCTATTATCAGATTAGTGGTTAAAACTATTATTATTCAAATAAAAGATCAGAGTAGGAATCTATCAATGCAGTTGAGTGTATTGAATTTGGTGGTCAGGGTCATATTTTACATGGCCAAAATTCCATGACTGCACATCAAAGGACAACACAGTAAGACACTTTGTCAAAATCTATGCCAGCTGATATCAAAGTTCACTTTACATCTTAAAGTGGGGTGGGGCCAATATTGACCCCAGGACTATAATTTGTACAATCTTGCTAGAGGTTCACTACACAATGTTTCATGCAAAATATCTAACCTCTAGTCTTTGTCAATTTAGAGAAGACGATTTTTTAAGTTTTTACTATAAACATATAAGGAAAACCTATGACCCCCAGGGAGGGGCTAATTTTGACACTAGTAGCTGTTAGAAGTTTGAAGTTCCTAGGCCTAAGTATTCTTTAGTTATTGATTGGAAACCATTTTTACCTACAAGGTCAATGTGACCTTGACCTTTGACCTATTGATGCCAAAATCAACAGGGGTCATCTACTGGTCATGAACAATCATCATACCAAGTTTGAAGTTCCTAGGCCTAAGGTTCTTAAGCAATACTTCATAAACCTTTAGCTTGTTGCAACAAATTCTACCCATGTGACCTGTGCAGACCAAGATCAGATGGCATGGATGTGGTTTGCACTGTCCACAATTCCGTCATTATGTTCTGAATTTTTTGTCTACGGACCGACCGACAGACAAATGCAAAGCAATATACCCCCATTTCTTTGAAGGGGGGGCATAATAGTTAGTAACAAATTTTCTAACATTTTAGTAACATCTGACAAAAAGTGTACCATCTTTTTTTATATCTTAGCTCTATAATTTGTTAAGTTAAAATTGATAACCTGAATAAGGGTATATAGTACCCGAAACCGGTAGTTATAATAAATATATAAACCAACCTGATATTTTGATGTGTTGTTCTCCCCTCCTAATCTTTTAATTTATTGTTTATCAAAATATTAAAACAGAAATCAGGTGCATGTAAGTAATTTTTGATAATAATAGTTAATGAAATAACATTCAAAGTTTAATTATCATGACTGTCCAGGGTTTTCAGTAGGATTTGGTGTAGGAGGCCATTTCAGACTTTGAGGAGGCCACTTGATTTGAGCACCAAAGGTGCAAATTATCTAGGGGGGTCCGGGGGCATGGACCCCCAGGAAATTTAAAAAAAAAAAGATGTAAAATCATGATATCTGAGCTATTCTGGGGACAGAATTTAATATTTTGGACCTGTCAAAATATAGGAAATTTATTCTAAATTAGAGTCTTAAATGAAGCTGAACTGAATATTGAGACAATCCCATAATTTGTAAACATCTCTAGGAAAATCTAGTCATAGTCTTTTGAGTCCAGATTTAGTTTCTTCAGGGAAATGTCAATTGCATGTATAAACAAGAACTATTGAAATTACAAAACAAAACAAAACAAATTGTTCATGCTTGCAAAAATCGTAATACATGTATCATTATAGTTAGGGATTTACTTGATTGTAGATGAAAATAAAGTAGCAAATCAATCTTTTGTTTTTTCATTTTTTTCTCAGGTTTATAATTGTAAACACACATGTGATTGATCACTTACAAGCACACTATCTAATCAAATCTATGTTAAGATTGCCTGCCTGTATTACAGGGTTCAATGCTGTTTTTGCCAGGGATTTCACATCAGGGATCCCTCCTAAATGAGATTCCTCACATCAAAATAGTAAAATGAAAGTATTAAAGATTAACAAGGGAGTGCAACACTCTGATTATATTGCCTTGTTTCACATATACAGTTTTTTAGCCCTTATGAAAAATTGCTGAGCGGCTTCAAAGAGTTTATTACAGTAGGACTGTAACTATGACCATAATTAATGTATTTTACACAGACAGAAATGGAATATGATAAAGCTCACTGAAAAAAAAAACAATTTTGCTTTAACCTGTTCCAGTGGCTTTGGGTTAGAAATTAAGTAGGATTTAAGGAAATAAAATGTCTTCCATGGTAGCCCAGGATTCACTGAAATAGAGCTCAGGTGACTTTAAAATTTACAGATAATGATAAGGCTCTATTCCAGTTAGATCTGGTTTGGATGACTTTTTGAAAAAAATATTTTCATGCAATTATCAGTTTTTAAAAAATAGTTTTTGCCTATTTCAACCTACACTTTTTGTGGTAAAAAGGAATGATAGGAATTTGTAAATTTTGCGAGAATTTACAAGTATTTGCTAATTTCAAACTAAAAGTAAAATATCAAGAACAAGTTTAAAGGGGTTTAAAAGCCTAAAAACAACATTTGAATTTCTTACATAAATGAGCTGGGGCATTTTAAACAGAAATATATGCAAAGATAGTTAAGAAATATACTTTGAAATAAATTGAAAATTGTATTTTTATGCTTTTCTTAGCCCGATTTGAGTAAAAAGCGTTTAACGCTTTTCATTTTGGGTCACCTTTTTACAATTTGAATAATTATTCTGGAAAAATGAAGTGCATGAATGATCTAAAATTTTGCACAAAGATTAGTCTGGAAACAAGATTGCATTTGAGAAAAATGCTATGCCACCGCATGGTTCAAATTTCAAACTGTACATCAAAGGACAAGAAAGTAGGTCACATCATCAAAATCTAGGTCAAAGTTCAATTTTACAACTAAAACTGTGCACATGGTCAAAATGTCATTGCTGTACATCAAAGGACAAGAAAGTAGGTCACTGTCCCCTTGGGCAAGGCATAATTTTGACCCAAGGGTTTAATAACAATCTTGATACAGGTCCACCAAACAACATTTCAAGTCAAATATCTAAGCTATAGCTTTCTCCCATTCAGAAAACATTTGTTTTATTTTCTGTTTTAACTACGTGTACATAATGAGAATCACTGCCCCCGGGCAGGGCCAATTTTTGACATTTGAACAACTTTGGTAGAGGACCTATAGATGATATTATATATCAAACATCAAAGCTCTATGCCTTGAACCTTCAGACAAAAATTTTTTTTTTTCACTATATGTACATAATGAAAATCAATGACCCCCGGGGCGGAACCAATTTTGACCCCAGGGCTATAATTTGAACAATCTTGCTAGAGGTTCACTACACAATGTTTCATGAAAAATATCTTAACTCTATCCTTTGTAAACTTAGAGAAGATGATTTTTTAAGTTTTAATTAACTATATACATATAAGATAAACCTATGGCTCCCAGGGGCGGGCTAATCTTGACACGAACAACTTTGGTCGAGTACCTTTAGATGATATTATTTAACAAATATTAAAGCTCTAAGCCTTGTACCTTCAGACAATAAGATTTTTTTATTTTTTACTATATGTATATATTGAAATCAATGACCCCCAGGGCGGGGGCAATTCTGACCCCAGGCTATAATTTGAACAATCTTGCTATAGGTTTACAACACAATGTTTCATGCAAAATATCTAACCTCTAGCATTTGTCAATTGCTAGAAGAATTTTTTTTAAGTTTTTACTATATATATACATATAAGGAAAACCAATGACCCCTGGGGCGGGGCCGATTTTGACCCCAGGGCTATAATTTGAACAATCTGGGTAGAGGTCTACCAGACAATGCCTTATGCAAAATATCTAAGCTCTAGGCCTTTTGGCTCTTTACAAGAAGGTGTTTTAAGTTTTTACTATATGTACATATAGCGAGAATCAATGACCCGGGGCGGGGCCGATTTTGACCCAAGGGCTATAATTTGAACAATCTTGGTAAGGGTCTACCAGATGATGCCTTATGCAAAATATCTAAGCTCTAGGCCTTTTGGGTTTTTACAAGAAGGTATTTTAAGTTTTTACTATATGTACATAGTGAAAATTAATGACCCCTGGGGCGGGGCCAATTTTGACCCCATGGCTATAATTTGAACAATCTTGTTAGAGGTCTACCAGACAATGCCTTATGCAAAATATCTAAGCTCTAGACCTTTTGGGTCTTTACAAGAAGTTTTTTTAAATTTATTCTTATAATTCCTTTTGGTTGCCATGGCAACCAGATTTCTGCATGGAATGAAATTCTTTGAACAACTTTGGAAGCCCTTCACCCAAGGAACAATCTTGACAAGTTTGGTTGAAATTGGACTAGTGGTTTTTCACAAGAAGATTTTTTAAGTTCACTATATAATCTATATAACACACACACAAACACACACACACCACACACAAACACACACACACACACAGGTGAATCGCTATATGCCACCGCATCGCAGATGCTGCGGTGGCATAAAAATATTTTCAGTCCCATCATGTCAAAAAACCTTAGTGGAGTCTCTTTAAGTCTGGCATGAAATTCTTCATACTTGTATAATCAGGACCAAAATTTTATACCTGAAAATATAACTTACAAGAAATTTGTATAATGCATTTGGTGTAGTTCATATTTATACATATTTATATAGAGATAAAAACTCCACTCTGGATCTACTTCAGATAATGCCAGGTATTCGAATAAAGGGTTGTCAAATAACCTGGGTCAGACTGTTAAATGAAACTTGCGTTTGTATATTTTCAGTTGATTGGATTCAGAATTTTCCGACAGACAAAGATACACCTCTAGTCCTCTGATTAAACAAGAAGGGGACAAATAAATTGTATGTCTTTCAATAATATAATTTTCAAATTTATTTACCTGTTCACAACAACATCGACTAACTACAGCTCTATAATCAACTCTTGACCATAATTTGTCCCTTTTGAGAAGAAACCTTGGGAATTTATCTCTCCAGTTGTCACCTAATGCCCATGGAAATATTTCATACTTCATTTCCTCCTCATCTTCTTCCATATCATTAGCCAGGTAACTACAATGTTCATTGTGGCATGAATAAAAAGAAACTTCATTATATGGCACAAAACTATTCTAACTCATTTTTTTACAAAAAATGTTGTTTTTTTTTTTTACATTTTCTTGTATAAATTCTTTCAATAAATATTCTGTTGTAATAATATCATTAAATTTCCCACTAATTTCTAACTTTTCCACATTTTAACAAAATATTCTATCTGCAAGTGGGAATAGTTTTGCAATCACCTTCAAGTTAAAACCTGGATATTATTTTATGCAAGACTACTTTAACTTCAAGTAAGAACAAGAGCCGGTTGAACCGGGTGATGCTCCCCAACTAGGATTTGGACACAGAAAAGTATATCTTTTGTAGTTTCAGAGTTATGTCCCAGACAAAGTTTAAAGATTTTGCTTCAAGGTCATGCTGTGACCTTGACCTTCAAGGTAGCGACCTAAATGTTGCGCGGGACACGTCATCTCAATATTGTGATCATTTCTGTGAAAAAGTTGTAAAATCCGTTGTACGGACATAATCCCCTTCGGACAAAATCCCCGACGCATACCCTGACAAAATCCCCTCCATGGGTGGATATAATCCCCGTCAAGGCTGGACAAAATCCCCTTACCTATCCGGACAAAATCCCCTTGTTTCATACATTTGTAGGTTTCTATTATTATGCTCCATAAAAATTGATGAATAATGAACTTTTGTTTTTTGATTTATAATTATGTATCAAGTTAACCTTTATAATTATATAAGCTTGATAAGACATTTTTGGGGGCGCAAGCCCCCAATGTAATTACAATAAATTCAGCTTACTACCTTTTGAACGCATCTAGGCACTAGCTGCGCTGAGCAAAATAGTTCCAATATTTTGCCATAATATTCAGATAATCATAATACCTTATCTATTTTAAAATTGACTGGTCATATTATTTACTGAATTTTAAATCCTTTTATCACAAAATTACATATACCATTGCTTTACGCGATTTGAATATTACTACGCTAGCAGTCGATAAAAATTTAATATGAGCCGTGTCATGACAAAACCAGCATAATGGGTTTGCGACCAGCATGGATCCAGACCAGCCTACGCATCCGCGCAGTCTGATCAGGATCCATGCTGTTCGCTATCAGTTTCTCTACTTGTAATAGAGTTGGTAAGCGATCAGACTGCGCGGATGCGCAGGCTGGTCTGGATCCATGCTGGTCGCAGACACACTATGTTGGTTTTGTCATGACACGGCTCAGTTATTGGTTCCCGATGCATGAGAGCCAAAGTACCTGCATAAATTTAGTGCCAATTTTATTAAATTCATAAATTAACTAACTATCATAGATCACAATAATTCATGAAAATGGAATACGATTTTCATATTAGAGAATAGATAACTTTCAAGTTTAAAATGCTTAAAAAGTGTGAATGTCAGAGAGGAAAAAAAATGTCTGCATATGAATACGATTTGTTTTCCCTCTAGCGTCATTTTCCCGCAATCGCCATCCCGAGAAAGATTGAGAGGATATGCTGTCAATTAGGAAGTCCCAGTTGTTTAAAAAAGTTGTAAGTTTTATTATACGAATACTTAATCTCCTTTATACACAACTGTTTAGTAACTTCGTTGCTTTTTCTTGCATTTATCAGTAGCAAAATCGTTAGGCTGTTTACAGAAAATTAGCAGGTCAAGATGTTTATTGTTTATATTTTTATTACGTTGTATTCACGGATTTATATTACAATATAAATCCGTGGTTGTATTACATTGATATTTTGGTTGCAATCTGTTCCGTATGTAGAATCAAGTTTTCTTCACAATCTGGTAAAGTTATTGATATATTTCGCTTGATAGACTGCAAATTTTAGTGCATTACCAGCTCGGCCCTAAAACGTATTCGGCCCCGAGTAAGCTCGGCCCTTTTTAAACTCGGTCCACTTTTCAATTTATTAACATATTGGTTTGTTTTATCACTCTTTATTGTTGAAACCACATAATTAATTTCTGGACTTATTCAGAAACGTGGAAAGATATTTTCTTAAATTATTATTACATTTTTGAGGGCACTTAACTAGTCCTAATTATTAGACCTATACATAACCTACAGTGATTTTTTTACAATTTTCAAAACAACCTGTGGCTTTCTGAAGGGGAAGATATAACGCGATTGGACTGCCCCAGTCCTGTAATGAGTTAAATCCTATCCTATGAAAGTCTAAGAATGTGCATAAATATAGTACCAACATAATTATGTGAACTTTCTATCATAGAACGCTACGCCAGTTGCCGCAGTAAAATGGATGTAGATCAACACACAAGAGTATAATCAAATACGTGATTTAATATGAACAAAATTTAATAGCGTAGAACAGACAAAGGGGGAGAAATACATCATTTAGTCAGAAACAGGCAAAGTTCCGAATGTATGTAAATACAACACAGTCTGGTGCTACAACTAACAATATATTGCAATATGTTTAAAATGCTTCAAAAGTGCAAATTTATACATGTATATTTTAAGAATTTTGTATGCATATGAAATATGAATACATACTAGTATTTTCTCATGTACATAATTTTCCTGTATACTGGTTGGAGAGATAACTCCGACACTAAATCACATATTTTTTGCAATATTTTAATTATCTTCCAGTATATTTTAAATATTGAACCACCTAAACAAAGTTCAGTTCAAAGACTTTACATTACACTACAAAAATTATGTATGGAAATGGAATATGGTACTTCTTTAAGGTCTTGAATGAGGTATACAAAACATAGTCTTTTTACCCCACAACAGTAGATAAAGTCGACACTTAAATTTTTAAGTAAAAAAAGACTGGAAAATCAGCATCAATAATTTATCTTTACATCTTATATGGTTTATCTATTTTTTGTAAATATTTAAACAATTTTTTAACAATCTTTCCCAAGTCAGTGGCCTGTGGTCAATACATTTCTAACTACATGTACCTTATTGTAATTTAGTAAAAAGAACGTTTTGAAGCAGTTTTTGCCTACAAAAAGTTTACGTTAAACCAAATTATAATAAAGCATCACATTCTGTCCTGTTCCTATACTATAAGGTGATCATGTGCTTGTTTGTTGAAAAACAAAGCTATAACATTTATACTTATCAAGTGTCGGGGTTATCTATGCGTTGGAGTTATCTCTCTGACCAGTATAGGGATTTTTTCTAGGATTATGGGAACACGACCCATATCCATGGAATTTGGAATTTCAGCGGTGTTTTGTTAAGAATTGGGAAAAATATATGAATGAAATTTTGCAGTGATTAAATGGATGCAAGCAAATACTGTCTAGGATGGCATCTTCAAAAATTTAAGCACTATTACAGTGAAGAAGCCCTTATTTGCAAAGATTTTAGAATTTTTATTCAATATTTTTATTATTTATCTTTCAATTGGGAATTTTTTCTGTAAATTGGGAAAATAATATACTATTTTCAATTGGGAATATGACCCAATAAAGGCTATAAAATAAGCCCAAAATAATCCCTGCCGTAATCACCATGTTGACAAGGTAAGCAGGTAAACATTGCAAAATTTTGTTCAATGTTGAATACGACTGTTTTATACTATGATATTCATTGTTTATATTTCACTATACCTTGAAAAATAATTGCAATCTGGTATAACAATTACTTAATCCCTTTGTATTTCTCTTAAGTGATTAATAATGCATAAAATCATGTGAAAGAAATCCGATTCAACTTGGCCCTTGTCTAACTCGTCCCAAAATTTTCTGGTAATAATTATAATTGAAATTGTTAAACAATATGACTCAAGTTCAGATCTACTTATTTCATACATGTAGATCTGATTTCCACACTTTTGCCTTCATCAGATGTAGGATTTCATGATATTTATAGTCAGTCCATAATTTTATAGATTTTTTATTTTGTAAATTTATAGACATTTATATGAAAAAAGAAGTTGTTTTAAAATTCAAAACCATAGGTCAATAATAATTAGATTACTGATCATATTATTAAATATAACAGATTCCAGATAACGTGCGTATCGGCGTATTTTACGTCTCAAAATCAACTAAAAACACACAAGGTTACCAATTTGTTGCATTCATTTTCGCACTCTGTAAATTAATTACTGAAAGAATGAAAATTTGAAGCGTTTTTGGTGTGTACTTTCATTTTCAAAACAGCTTCCGTCATACACTGATGAAATTTACTCCATTACCTTTGTTGATATGAACAGTCAATAAAAACAACTTGTCTTTAGCAGCGGAATTTTATAAACATCATAGTTAGTCATCTATATGATTATTATACTAATAGTATTCAAAAGTCTTATTGATGAAAGTATATGAAATGGTAGAGGAAGGAATAATTAATCATGGCAGTGGCTAGCAGTATGAACCAGTATTGTTTGACAAAAGTGCTGGCTGTATGCAAGTCACATACGACTAGCATATACTCACTGTTGAGGCTAGCCGTACAGCATTTTCAAAATGAGTTGCCTAAAACAATTTTAAATATGCAAACTTATTTTTCTAAAAGAAGATTTTATTGAATATCATATATATACAATTTCAGTCAATGCGAAATTCAAAAAAAATTCCAGCCGCAAGGACTGGGATCCTTAGATTTATTTCCGGCCCTGATGATTTTTTCCGGCCTGGACTCTGAAAGGTATTTTTTTGTAGGGGTGGGGGAGGGATATTGCCATAATTATAAACAAAAATATTTAGCAAATATGAATTTATTTTATTTATTTATTTAACTATAAGATACTATGAAAAAAATATACAGAAACATAATAAATAAAACATTAGCATAATTCACAAGAAAACAATACATCTTTCAAAGGTTTAATTTTGAAGAATGGAGAAAAAATATGTTTTGGTAAGGAAATTATCCAAGACAAGATGGTGGCTTACATTACTTAGCAAAAACTGGTCTTATCCTGCGGTGATTTTGGTTATCTGGGTCTGTGAATACAAGCAAAAATGAAAAAAATTGATCAATCTTGGAAGCTT